ACAATACTTGTTGTGATGTGTAATATTTGAACTTGGACGTATGCCCTATGTTGGTTGGTTTCTAATATGAAATTTCATTGTTGGCAGAGGGACTACATCACAGCTTTGGTGCACAACATTGGACCGTCATCACCATTATGGACCAATTTATCAAGCCAAAATACTTCGAAAACAATCATATCAGTGGACATCTGTCCCCAGCAAGCATCAAATTCGTAAGCCTAAAATCGATTTCTACACATGTTCCACAACCTTTACCCACCTAAATTTCAAAATCTAACAAGAAGTTTGCATTTTCAGGGTGGATTGTGGGCCTGCAGTTTGTTACATCATGAGGGCGCATGTATATCGTGAAGACATTGTTGCCAGCCTAGATCGCTTTGAATGGTGTCAAATAAGAGACTCATTAGTACACCTTTTCCTGAACCATAGAAAGACAGTGCAATGTGAAAACCTATAGGTGGGGGGTGTCCACCTATCACTGTAACCCAAATCTGTTATCCACATTTAAGACAATTTAGTTTCACTAGCTTAATTGTAAATGAAGTCTATATCACTGCTTGTACAGATACTTTTCAATCAATATATGTATATGCATTTTAAACGGAAGTGATCAGCGAAAACTCTCAAACAATTGTTCATCTTGGAAGGCGTATCTAGGGTTAGGGGTTCAGCTTATAGAAATGGAGAACTTGACGAAAAAGGGGATCAAGTGGAAGCCGAAGTCCACATTCGGTAAAAGCAACTATTGGAAAAGGCATTGTATGGTCTGTGGGCACGATGGTATCATTATCCCCAGCCAGCTTAAGATAAACGTCGGCTGGGATAGAGAATTCTTGCCTAAAGTATTCAAGTTTTGTTGGGGTATTTACCCTATGCCTCCACATACCCATTATGTCGGCTTAAACTAAGAGGAATATGTTTCAGAAGATGGGCGTTTTTCAGGTTTCCCTAAAGATTAAGGGTTCTACAGACAAATCCCAAATCTATGAAGTATGAAGATAAAGATCGAGGGCACAGATCTGGGGCAGATACAAAAAAGAGAAAACAAAGACGAAGTTTCAGATTCAAGAACAGAGGTATAGTTCTCAGAAACAATAGAGATACAGGAAAAAATCAAGGACAGCGGCAAAAAGAATGATGAAAAAGCATAGAAGTTCAAGGTAAAGCCACAAATTCAAGATACAAATAAATCCAAGACCTCGAACAAAGATCAGTAAAGGCAACAGACAGACAGAAGCACATAAAGAGAATGAAAGAATTCAAGAAAAGGGTCTTACCAGGGCAAATGAGGCCGAGGCAATGCTCGCCGAACCCAGAAACCGGTTGCAACCGCAAAGAAGGCTTTGCAAGAATGAGGGATTAAAGGCAATTCCAGAAGAGAGATTGAGGCGATGGCAGATTCGAAGAAAAATGAGATTTCAGAGAGAGAAAGAGCAAGAAGACGGAATGAAAAAGTGAAGAAAAGATAGAGGCAAAAAAGAGTTTTGTCAAAAATTTGAAACGGCGGCAAAATTAGGGCAATCATTATGCTTAGGGTAACGCACGCGTCAGACGGCGCAAGACGAACGAATAGACAGCTTCCAGGCGCGTCTCAGACACGCCCAATGAAAACAGAGCACGTAAAAAGGAACGGTTAGATATGCATGACAGCTCATGCGCATGGGAGAGTACGACCGAAGCCTCGTTCTCCGAAGAGAACACGTCGGCTGAAAGTAGATAATCTTGACTAAACAGTTTTTTTTTTGAGCCATTACTCAGAAAAGAAGTAACAAAATTTCGGAATAGATTCCATCACCTCAGAATACCGAGGTAATAGAACCTAGGGGGCAGTTGTGGGGATGTATTTTCTGAATACCAACACGTGGCATGGTGACGCCGACGTGTCAGCCGAGGTGCCACGTGCCCTGGTAGTTAAGCCGAGGTAATCTCGGAGAAGCCGAGGTCATCTCCGAGAAGCCGAGGTAATCTCGGAGAAGCCGAGGTAATCTCGGAGAAGCCGAGGTAATCTCGGAGAAGCCGAGGTAATCTCGGAGAAGCCGAGGTAATCTCGGAGAAGCCGAGGTAATCTCGGAGAAGCCGAGGTAATCTCGGAGAAGCCGAGGTAATCTCGGAGAAGCCGAGGTCATCCCCGAAGATATCGGAATCCGAGATAAGAGGCAAGGGTCCTAAGGCAAAGAGGGGACTTAACCAAGATAAGGATAAAGCTCTTAGGGAGTTTATCTTTATCTCTTGAAGAGTCCAGAGTAAACAGTAAATTGGAGTTCATAGAAGTCATACTTCTAGTGGGACTTGGATTGAGTAAACTATAAAAGAGAGGCACCCCCGTAGATCTAAGGTATGTAATTTATACTTTGAGTATTCAGTTTAGTACTTGATTATCTTTGAGAGATATACTGACTTGATCGTCGGAGTGCCCCCGGGTGGAAGAACCACCGCCGGAGCTTTTTCTTTTTGTTTCAGGTTGCTTAAGCCATCTATTCTGCTTGTGCTCTCCAGCTGATCACTAAACGGGCAGTGTGGTCAGATTTTCACCCACACATATAAAATGAAAATAGATCCTCTGTATTACATATTGAATGAAATGAAGTTTAATTTCTTTATATATAGCTTCCCTCTTTTGAAGTTTTTCTATAATACTTCCTAAGGAAATGTGGAGTAGTCTACTTATACTTTCATCCAAAATCTTACTTTAATTCATGAATTTTTGCTAAAATATTATTTGGTCTTTTCACTTTTAATTTTTATCAACCTCTCAACAGTAAATGAATGAAAGAATAAATTTTAAATTTAAATAAAATGTAAGAGATTGATTAGTATTAGAATTGAAAAATAAAAGAAATACTAAAATGAAATTACAGTAAAAATATAAAGATACTAAATTTTAATTAACTCTTTTTCTGAATACCCATGATTGAAAAATAAATAAACATTTTTTCCCTTCTGGATGGGGTAAACCAATACTATTAATTTACTTAGCCGACATTATTGAAGTTATTTACTGTGTAACTAACTCAATAGTTGAGCAAAAGAATATAAATTTTTTTAAGGTTTAATGCATGAATTAGACAAGAAGAAGGGGCATTATTTAATTTTCAATAATTATTGCCGTGATTTCAACACCTAATGGTGGGTTCACGCGAACCCTTTTTTAAGTTTATTTTAAAAAGGGAAATGTCTAGTTGTTTCGAATCATATTTCCAAATGTACATGGCTTCTTATGTACTTCATGGTTCAATAAAAAAATATGTATTTGATATCATTTTAAATTGGGCCATTTTTTGATAAGTCCTATTTATAACTGTTTTGTTCCATAAAACCCAAACTGTTTCTGAATATTCCATTAGGTCCATTAATTGTTAAAGGACGAAATAACCCTCTCCGCCTCTCCCGCTTTTTGATTATTGAATAAATTATTTATAAGAAAATTTATAATGATTTAATAGTTATGATTATATGTTTAATCAAACTTTTTTTTTAATAAATAATTTATTTTTAAAATTTGTATTTATTATCTATTTTTTCTAATATAAATATAATAAAAAATTAGCGAATGTGTTTTTTTGGTTAAATAATCTACATATTAAAACTTTATGGATTAATGATTAAATCATCAAATTAGGATTCATAACGGGTCAATCTGGACTCTTTTTGCAAATGCAAGAAAGTATTTTGAATTTATTTTTTAAATGGATGAATAACATTAAAATTTTTAAAAATATAATAAATCTTATATTTTGACATAATTAAATTGGTTTTTTTTTTTTTTTAGTAAGGTAACAAAGATCAAAACTAATATACATTTTAATGTAAGTGATGTGACATTATTTATTTATTTATTTATATGATTGATGAATGAGATTTTTAGTTTAAGATCTCTAATATTAAGATTTCATCAGGTAAATAATATTCAACATTTTCATAATAGGTGGGGTCTTTTAACATTTTCACAACAAAGAAATTTCCAACTTTTCACAAATAAATTTCTATTTTTACAAATAAATTTCCGTTTCATTGAGAAATTTCAGTTCATCACAGAAAATCTTAACGAATAAAAAAAATATTGAATCTCTCATACTATTTAAAGTTGGAGAGGGATATTTTATTAATTTTGCCTTGATGAATTACTAATGAAAATGAGACTTAATGTTAAGTGGATTAAAATCTTAATAGAGTAAATGTAATTATACCAAATTTATATATATATTTTTTCCAAATTTTAAGAGAGTACTATAATTTACCTTTCTTATTTTGTTAAGTCCTATTTCGTGTTTTAAAAATATGATTTCAAAATTTTCAAAAATCTTGAATGAAGTCATATTTTTAAAATAAGATTTTAAATCCAAAATCATGTTTTTTATTTTTATTTTTTACAGAATAACATGAGTTTAAAAAAAAAAATAATAATAATATTATATAGGGAAACACTATGGTACACACTCATATGCATCTTATAATTAAAGAAAAAAATGACATGATTTCATACTTTATGAGTTAGAACTAAAAAAACACTTATGTTTTTTTTTTACAGATGTGTATATTAGAGTTTCCCATAACTTTAAAAAAAAAAAAAAAAAAAAAACACATCCGTTCAAAAATTTGACTTTGTAAAAATATACACCGAGAAAAGTAAGAACTTTTTTTAGATAAGTAATGGTAGAGATCTCAAAAATTTTATCAAATATCTCACATTGTGTGTGGGTTTCAAGTGGATCCCACACTCATGTAAGATATTTTGTATAATTTTTTATAGAATTTTTAAAATTTCTACCATTTTTATCCTTAGGTAGGACCTAAGATTAAAGATTATTTTTGTTGAATTGCTGACCATGATAATTATGTACCAACGAAAATATTTCCTCCACATTTCCTCCACATGAGCCACCTATGGTTTTCAATGGAGCTTAGACATGCTACAATCACTGTCATAACATAAAAAGACTCCATATCAAGCTCAGTGGATAACATAACCATTAACCACCATCCAAAACAGTATCTTCTAGTAGCCAAGCCCTTCAATGCTCTTAAATTTTGATACAAGTGGAGATAGACATTCAATGTGAAATTTAACATTTTGGGAACTTAAAATTACAAAATAAGAAGATACAATCAACTTCAATTTCTCCGACTGCTGATAAAATTTGTAAGCAGAGACTGGCAAAATCCAATATAAAAAGCTCGACGTGTGACCATCAGACTAGCATGCCGTTAAAGAAACTGATAAAATTCACAAGGGTATGTTAAATTGTTAATCCTCTCAACCATTTACAATCATCTCCATGAGGAAATCATTCCAAGTGTCTATCGGACCGGGCAAACACCAATGCAGACAATCGTTGATAACTTTAGCGTTTTTGTTCTTCGAAAATGGGTGATCGTGCCGATAAGGACCAGGATGCCCATCCGGTCTCAATAACGACAGCTCCATTAAATCAAGTAGTTTAAGATTCACACCCTTTTCAGAAGCGATGGCGGCTGCCTTGTCAAACTCCTCCAATTCAACATCGCGTAGAATTTTGATCAATGAGTTTAACTGAGACTCGCCTTCCTTGACCGGTGTTGTCCTACGGCAAGTTCCGCCACTGAACCATTCCCCGTTCTCGAAGTGGTCGGGAGAGGTCGTCCGATAAAAAATCATTCCTTTGTGATTGGATGTGATGATGAAGTTGAACAAGTTCTTGAGGACTTTGCGGTAGGCAAAATTGAAACCAAGCTCTGGTAGCTTTCTCTTGGGACAGTAATGGCAGCCCAATATTATGTCATTCTCGTAGTAGATTGCGGTTTTGATAAACCATTTACCGCTTGCAAATATCATGTAATCCAAGCCCTCGTATAGGTCGGTCCATGTCGTGTCAAGTTTGTCAAGATGTAGCTCAATTTCAGATGTTGAAACACCGTCATAGTTTTCGAAAATAGCAGCTTTTGTAAGGAATGGGGACCAAATGACTGAGATAGTGAAGTTGTAATAGGGAAAGTGCCATCTCTTGGATCTGTATTCTGCATCGTGGTAAACTTCAATAGCTGGTTCCACCTTGAGGAAAAAAATAGTTTAATTTGATCAGTTGCAAAACTTTTGGAAAAAAGGCTATAGCATTCTGAGAACATGAAAGACATTTGACACACAACTTAACAGAATCTGATGCAATACAGAGACAGATAGTGCCAACATTTGAAGATATTATAGCATCACATCATATTCATCAAGTTATAATCCATACTAGATTTATAAACCAATTGGCATATATCCAAAAACACACATGCCAAAGTGCATGTCAAATATGGAGTTAGCCCAATAAGCATAAAAAAAAAAAATAAATAATTACAAATTATGTTTAGATTTGTGGATGACAGCAAGTGAGATGGTTGTGGCCAGTGGGATAACCTTATGAGAAAATGGTGGGCACTGAGATGGCATACGAGAGTCTTGGCAATCTTAGAAGAGAGAGAGAGAAAGGATGGCAGTGAAGAGGTATTGCTCTTGCCGGAGGTGGAGGAGGTAAGGAGATGAATGATTGTTTGTCTCCATATATGGAGAGGGTCTCTTTTTATAGGAGAATCAAATCATAGGCGGGCAGCTCAACCATGGACAAATAAACAAGGTAAAGAACATAGTGAATATCCTATTCAAACGTCCAAAAACAACACCAAATTTCGCTATACGAATCACTGTTAGAGTTTAGGCTGAATAAAGGTTGTTTGTTTATTGTCCTAGTCTTTGGGTGTTTGTTATAATTTTCCTAGTTTATAGTAGTATCCAAGTAGTTGTTGAGTTAGTTCCTTTGATTTCTGCTAGCTGTTAGTTTGTTCCTACTTTAGTGCTATAACCTTCTTGTACTCCCCTATTTATGAACAACTCAATGAATAAATTGTCTTCTGTTTTAAGGTATATCTTTCTCTTAAATTATAACAGTGGTATAAGAGCCAAGTTATCCAGTGTTCTTGTTGTTTTAAGTTCTCTTTCTTAGATTGCTTGTGAGCAGTGTCCAACGATGAACGGGTCAATTCAGCCTCAACTTCCGAGGTTCAGTGGGAAAAACTTTGATCAATGGTGTGTCCAGATGAAGGCGTTGTTTGGCTTTCAGGAGCTATCCGAGGTTATCGACCTTGGATACGCAGAACCACTTGATCAAGCTGCTGCAGCAGCAGCACTTACTCAAGTTGAGAAGGACAGTTTGAGAGACAACAGAAAGAAGGACAAGAAAGCTTTATTTTTCCTCTACCAAGCTGTAGAGGAGATTGTTTTTGAAAAGATCTCGAGTGCAACTACGGCTAAGGAGGCATAGAACATGTTGCAGAAATCCTACAAAGGCGATGAGAAAGTGAAGAGTGTAAGGTTGCAAACCTTGCGAGGTGAATTCGAATCTCTCAAAATGAAAGATTCTGAATCTATATTTGACTATTTTTCACGTGTTCAATCTGTTGTTAATCAGTTACGGGTTAATGGTGAAAAAAAGGAAGATATATGAGTTATTGAAAAGATCATGAGATCCTTGACAGGTCGTTTTGATCATGTTGTTGCTGCAATTGAAGAAGGAAGGGATCTTTCGATCATGACAATTGAAGGTCTACTGGGTTCATTATGTGCTCATGAGTACAGAATGAATCAGAGGTCAGCAGAACCTGTAGAGAAAGCATTGTTGTTACAACACTCATCAAGCCACGCTCAGAAGGGTTCCGGGCGCGGGAAAGGCAAGAATGCTCACCAAAAACCAGGGGAGAGTAAAGGTGATGATTACTCCAAAGGAAACTGGAAGGGACGTGATGGTCAAAATTCTACAGGTCACAAACCACAGTCAGCAGAGAAATCTAAGGTTGAATGTTACCGTTGTCACAGGTATGTCCATTATCGCTCCAAGTGTCGAACAAATTTAAATAGAAATTGCAGTGCAAAATCTTATTTTGCAAAAAGGAAGAAGAACAAGAAATTACCATCCTTATGGTGTGTCAAACTAACGAGGAAACTCATAGGAATTTATGGTACTTGGATACCGGCTGCAGCAACCATATGTGTGGAGACAAATCAATGTTTTCTGATTTGGATGAATCTTTTTGCAATACTGTAAGGTTTGGTGATAACTCTATAGTATCTGTTTGGGGAAAAGGAACAGTTACATTCCACACCAAAGGGAATTCTCATTCTATTTCCAATGTCCTGTCTGTTCCAGATTTAAAATCTAATTTGCCAAGTGTTGGCCAGCTTCAAGAAAAGGGATATGAGATTTCCATTAAGGATGGAGTTTGTCGAATCCAAGATGTGAAACTGGGCTTAATTGCTCAAGTGAAAATGACAGCAAACCGGATGTTTCCTTTGTATCTCCATCACACCATTATTTCATGTTTTGCTGCCAAACTAAAAGATACAGCATGGTTATGGCACTTTCGCTATGGCCATCTCAGTTTTGCTGCCAAAGGTTGTTTGTTTATTGTCCTAGTCTTTGGGAGTTTGTTATAATTTGCCTAGTTTATAGTAGTATCTAAGTAGCTGTTGAGTTAGTTCCTTTGATTTCTGCTAGCTGTTAGTTTGTTCCTACTTTAGTGCTATAACCTTCTTGTACTCCCCTATTTATGAACAATAACTCAATGAATAAATTGTCTTCTGTTTTAAATTATGTCTGTCTTTCTCTTAAATTATAACAATCACAACATTTACCTCTGAGAGCAAGCAAAGCAAGGACTGAACATGGTTTCGAGATATAGAATCGCCAATCAATGCCCACGTCTTATCCCTCATCAACTCCAAAAATTTCTCTGAATCGAATTGGGGAAGCTCACAATCTCGTGGATTCCACCTCCAATACAAATACCCAGTGTCCGGTCTCCCATTCTTCAGACAATTCTGATGACTCTCAATTAAATGGCAACTCTCATTACTGTAAACAGGACCAGATGGGTTTGGGATCCAATCGCCAGTAAAAAGATCACACTTTTCTGCTTTTAATTTTTCTGAGTAAACAAACACAACTTTCAGTATATAATAACAAAATCAATGGTTTACTAGGAAAGTAGAGATTTTAGGAAAAGTAAAAGTGCCAGGTCTCTGCATTTATGTTTTCTGTGTAAACAAACACGACTTTCAGTATTACAACAAAATCAATCTTTTACTATGAAAGTAAAGATTTTAGGGAAAGCTAAAGTGCACAACCCAATCAAGGATTGTAACATTAAATCAATCAAACTTGCAAGTAAACTAAGAGAGAACCCAAAAGAATCAGCATTTCGAATCCACATTAGAGAAAAACCCAACAAAAATTTACTCTGTTTGGTTGTGTTTTCGTTTATTGCTTTATGTTTTCATTTTCCGAAAACAACCCTTTTTGTATTCTCCAGAAAAGGAAAACAGAAAACAAAAAAATGGAAACACAACCAAACAAATTTGCAGATCTCTACGAACTGTTCATCAATGCACAGTTCACTTCTTTTATTTCCTCTGCTGATTTGAATTTCTTAACAATTGCGACTGATCAAAGAAAAACCAAGTAAAAATAAGAGATACCCAATTCATAATAGCAAAAAAAATTGAGTACCACTTCGAGGAATCTGATCTGAATCTTCCATAAAATCGACAGAAACTTGTGGTTCTGGGTTCATTGTCTTCTCAATAGGAGAAGAATCGATCAAAACTGGTGGTTCTGAGCTCATTGTCTTCTCAATGAATGGAGTTTCAGCGACATTCGAAAACCCAGTTGACTTGGAGAAGAGAAGTCTGAGAGTGAGACCCAGTAAGAGAATCGAAACAGACAATTTCACAATCAGTTGGTGGTGTTTGTGAAAGAACCACCACCATGGTTTCCAGTTCAACTTCATTTTGTTTACTCTCTCTCTTCTCTCTCTTGTCTCCTTCTCTCTCTAAAAGCCCACCAATGGAGCATGTATATCAAAAAGGTTCGCCATTTTTAGGTGCAAATCCGACATGGATGATAAGCTGTATCCTAATAAATGCAAAAACAAAGACAGTATTAACCGACAATACACTCACTGTTTCCTCATGTAGCCGGTTGTGTATTTGGGAAGTGAGGCCTCGTTTGGCAAGAGGCTATTTTAGTTAATTAGTCAAAAAGTTATTAAATTAGTCAAAAAACTAATAATTTATATCAAAAATTTAAAGATTCTCTTTTCTCTCTACTTTTTGCACATCTTTTCGTAATTAGTCAAAAAGTCATCACAAACATATAAGTTTTTTTTACCTACCTTTTTAGCCAAATAGCCAAAAAGTTACTAAATTAGCCTGTTCCCAAACTAGGCCTGAGTTGATTTTTTGACTTTTTAATTTTTTTAGTTATTTTAATTTAGGTTAAAAAGTTTAATTTGGAAAATATTTTTTGATTTTTTGATTTTTTTAATTTTTTTTATAAAAAAAAGAATGTAATGATTATTGATTGGATGTGATGTTTTGTTTGTTATGATTAAAATAATCTATTTTATTTTATTTTTTTTACTATTTTAACCCCTAAAATCACTTGCCAAACACCATCTAAGAATATATGATTTCAAATGATTAAAATTATTAAATTAATGGTTTAATTATAATTAGTTATCTCAATTAATTTATGCTTGCAATCGGTTACCCACACTTGAATCTATGGATGCCGTGATAATATTTCAAACTATCTTTTTTTTTTTCGTTCAAAAATAATAATAATGATTTAGTTATAATTAGTTATCTCAATTAATGCAGGCTTGCAATCGGTTACCCGCACTTGGATCTATGGATACCCTGATAATATTTCAAACCATCTCCTTTTTTTCGTTCAAAAATAACAATAATAATTCATGGGGAAAGTGGAGAATCAAAAAATCATCAAAGAAAAAGTTAAGTTTATAATTTTTTTGTAAATAATTTAAAAAAATGCTACAAATTTTAAAAATTTTATCAAATGTCTCACATAGGTATGAGACGTATATGTGAGTCTCACACCCATATAAGACATTTGATAGAAATTTTGATAGAATTTTTAGAGTCTCTAACCTTATAATTTTTTGATTTCTCATTGATGTGTAATTCTCTCTTAATTCATTGAGAATATAGCAAATGGGGACTTGCGCGTAAGTCCTAATAAATTGACTTATTATATAATAGGTTTTATGATAGTTAATGGCGTTTTTCACCCAAAATTATTAAAAAAAAGTCACTAATTGTTAATTTTCAGTGACAGTTTGAAATTTTTGTTACAAAAAATATCACTAATTATAGGTTTTATCGACAGTTTAAAAAACTCGTCACAAAAATTGTTACTCCCTCCGTCCCCAAATATTAGTTCCTTATTCCATTTTTTATTGTCCCAAAATATTAGTCCCTCTTTATAAATCAAGTACAAAAATAATGTAAATTTCTTATTTTGCCATTCTTTTAAATTAATAAACAATTTAAAAAGTACAATTATGACAATGATATTCCAAAAAAATGTACTATCAAAAGGGTAATTTTGGAAAACCAATTTTTTTCAAATGCAATAAGTGTACTACCAAAAAAAGTTGGATTCCCCAAAAGGGACCAATATTTTGGGACGGAGGGAGTACTAATTTTTAATTTTCAGCGACAGTTTGACAAATTTGTCACAGAAAAATGTTACTAATTGTAAATTTTAGTGACAATTTGTAAAAATCGTGATAAAAAAGTCACAAATTGTCAATTTTTAACTACATATGCAAAAAAAATTGTTATTTTCAGCGACGATTTTAATTAGACTTGATAGGAATTAAATCAAACTATTATGACCTATTGGTAATTTATCCTATTGCAAATCAGTGTAATTTTTAAAAAATAATTATCAATAAGTGAGAAACTTTTAAATATTAATAATTATAATTACAATTTTTTTATTATTATGTAATTTTTTTTTTTTTACTTCAAAATCCCACTCTAGTGCAATTATCCCTAATTTATTTACGCTGTATTTTGTTGGGAGATTTGGAAAGAAATTTGGAAAGAGAAAAGAAAAAGACGTGTGAAACTAAGTGAAATGTAATTATATTTTATTTATCTTTCACCTCCCTTTCCTCTTTTTCTTTTTTCTTTCCAAATCTCTTCTTAAATCTCCAAGCAAACACTAAATTTTAAGCTGTAATGGTTTGTTACAAGTTAAATGAGTGTTTATAACTTATTTTAATTTAAAAATTTGTACCAAACTGTTTGATATAATTATATTTATAATTTATTAAACACAAATAGCTTGAATAGGTGAAAAAAAAATTGATTATTTAAAAATTGACAAAAAAATACATTTAATTTATGTTTTTTGATTATTAATTTTTAACTTATAATAAACTGTTAGCCTCATTTATAAACCTGAGAGGCCCAATAATCTTAAGAAATTTAGCGAAATTGCAAACAAGGCTTTTTTAATATTTTTAATTTTAATTTAAATAATATTTTTTAATTTTTTACAGTATGGATTTTTTCAGGTTTTTTTATTCTAATATAGTATTTTTATTATATATTTATTTTAGTGGAGTTAGGAAATCTTTGGATAAGGATGTTTTTATTTTATGGAAAAAATTGTTTTTCCCTTTTGCTGGGCGGGCCATTTGGTAGAGTAGAGTGTTTTGTTCAACTCTTGTTATGGGAGGCATGAATAAAATAGTTTTTATTTTGTTGGATTTTGGATGAATAAATTAAAATGATAGATATATTATTTTGTTATACAACTGCCATAGAGAAGATTTTAGAGCTTTTAAAATTGGGACTCCTCTAAGGGTCACTATATATAAGTTGTGTTAGGTTAGATTGATTTTTGTTTTTATTAAACTTTTTTCAACTTTAATACAAGTTTAAAGGTGTCTTGTCCACCTGTATTAACCAGTTAAAAATTAATAAATACAAAATAAGTTTATTTTTATAGAATTTTAAAATAAAATTTCACTTATTTTAATTTTTTATTTTGTGATCCCCCTCCCGAGTTATAAGGGCCTAAAAGTTTAAAAAAAAAATGCATTAAATTTTATAAAATTTAATAAAAATTGTCAATATTTTAAATAAAAAATTAAAAAATCATTACAAATTATCACATCACTTTCTTTCTTCTTTTTTTTTTTTACATATTTTTTCATAAAAGACTTAGAAGTTATTAAAATAATTTGTTTCCAAATAAAAGAAATTGTATTTTCAGGTGGTCCACAGGCTGTCAAATGATTAAAGTTATTAAACTAATAATTTATTGTAACTAGTTGTTTAAATTAATTAATTTAAGTTTTAGGTAGAGTGAGACAAAAGTTTGACTCTGATTCGGTCCATAAAACAGAGGTCCAACATTGTCCACAATATCAAATTTAGACCATGTTTGGAATCTTAATTTTTAATAACTTTTTTTTATCTTTTTATAAAATTAAAAAATATATATTTGAAAATAATTTTTTAATTATATCAAAGAAATATAATTGTTTGATGTGTATGATTTGAATTTTATCTTTATTCTCAACATGGGTTGGGCTTTTTTCAAGTTCAAAACTTGAGACGCTTGTGAGATTCATTACAAGTTTTATTATGAAGATGCAAACTATATATTTTATAAGACTTTTAGTTTGTATCATTTATAAAAAAATTAAGTCGATCAAATAATTATAAAATTTTTATTTTATCGTATTTACTTTTAAAAAAATGGACAAAAGTATTCTTCAAAATAGATTATCTATCTTTTTGAAGACAAATACGATAAAATAAAATAAAAATATTACAATTATTAAATTGATCTATTTTTTTTCATGAATAATATATATTAAGGATCTTACAAAATGAATAATTTGAATTATTAAAAGAAATACCTAATGGACAAATTCAAATTTAAACTTCAAAGAAACATAACCTAATAGGATTAGTAGAAAATCACGGGTTGAACTTCTTTCATGGTCACATTTCAAAATGAGATAATTTAAAGGCATGTGTGACCACCACGGATCACGTTTCAATGATTCGAATAGTTTATTTTATAAGCCTCTTAATATATATTATTCATTAAAAAAATTAATTCAATTTGATAATTATATAATTTTTATTTTATCACATTTGTCTTTAAAAAAATTAATGACAAATATATTTTTGAAAATTGATTTTATTTTTTGAAAAACAAATATGATAAAATAAAAATATTTTGATTATCAAATTGATTTAATTTTTTTTATGAATAATATAAATTGAGAATTTTATAAGATAAATTATTTGAATTATTTAAAAAAAAATTATAGTAAATTTCATATACTCTTTAAATTTTCTTGTATTGAGACGTGAGCAAGAGAAGCCCAACTCAAAAATCATTATCTAAGCTTCGTGACTTGCTCTTCATTGGTTAGTGGTTAGTGGTTAGTTTCTCTCATATTGACCATTGATTATTAATTTACCTCTCTCCCCAGACACCAAATTTTAAATGGTTGTAAAGCAAGCAAAACTCACCTACCATCACACACCATCCCAATCATTTACTTCCAAGTGGCTTTTTGTATTTTTTTCAACTCATGCAAGGGTAAGTAAACTAGGAAGTAAATCATTTCATGTTTGTTTTTGCAGATTAGGAGATGGGATTAAAATAGTAATGAGGTGAGTTTTACTATAATTTGTTTAGTAACGTTTTGGTTGAGGAGAATTGCTACTCCACCGAAAGTATCACTCCCACATCCCAATTGAATTAAATTTTTCTTAGATAAGTTAGGATTAAAAATATAGTGAGGAGATTAAGTTGCACGTTTTGTTTTTTTATTTTTTAACTCAAGTGCAGTTTATTATTTGTAAATTTTTTTATATTTGTTTTAGAATTTCTTTTAATATACAAATATTTTATTTTTATTTTATATAAAAATAATTTAACAATTCCATCACTAATCATCTCTCCCATTATCATAAAAAATAAATACATTTTTACTTAATCCCCTCATTAACAATTTTTACATTAATAATCTCTTCACTAATCATTTCCTTATTAACAATCTCATCCAATCTAATTCGCCAAATAAATGTGGC